TCAGACCAAAAAGAAATGGTGACGAATATCAGACTCGGTGATGATTGGACCACGATTCACATCGCAATCGCTGATGGTTGAGACAGTGCCAATTGCTGAGCATCCCACTGTAAATAGAATAGAGAGCGTAAAGCTCATGTGTCTATGGAGAGGGTGGCTTCATATAAACTGAGTCAACACGAGACAGTATGCGGCTGTCAGTCAAGAGGAATCATTAGCAGAAACGGTAGAAGGCCTAGTGAAAGCCAACTTCACGTCGTAGCACTAGTCACGCAGGCGAACGAGACTTGTGAGCAGTTTTCAAGAGGAATCCTCACAAGAAGTGAATGGGAAGAACCGGACAATCAACCTAATCGGGGTTTTTCTCCTGCCTATTGATCTTGAAACTTGTTGACCCTCTCTAGGAAAAAAACTACTTTTTAGCCGAAACTAACACCGATTTAGCTGTTAGTTAGAAGGTGCCATGTTGAAAGACCGGCCTTGTAACGTGGTCTAGCTTGATCTGTCAGAAGTTCAACGTTAGTTAGCAGTAAATCTACCAAGTCGTTTCCACACCCTTCCAAATCGATGACTTTGGAAAGTAAGAAACGATGATTTTTTAGTCGATTTCAGGTGCTTCCCAGTTAGCTGAACGCTTTCAGAAAGTTCATCCGGTCCGGCTAGGCGAATGTCACCCGTAGCTTTCAGGTTCCTTAGTGCTTTTAAATGTTTGAGCCTGACAGAGCTTCTATGAGAAAGTTGGCTTTGGCGGTACTGGGAACAAATGATGACCAGTCCGATCTTAAGTCCTTAGTTCATCTGGGGCGCCCAATGTTGTGGGCATTAACTATATGGTCTAAGTGAATAGCTTCCACCTCTGATTGGTGTGGGTTTTCTGAGAAACAAAACTTTTGAGCCTCTGGTTAGTGCATCACCACATAACTCCTCAAGAGCCGATTCGCCATTGCTCGCAAGACGTATGAGTTCTATATAAATGAACGCATAGTGTTTGAGAGATATATCATCTGACTCCATATGCGCAGGGTTTTCTACAGATCCACGAATATAATCTGTGATAAAATTAGCTTCGCTCTTCGTAATTGCAAGTCTGATCACAAAACTCAGCTACCCATTGAATTGCCTGGTTGTTGAACAATCTTTTCACTTTTAGCGAAACCGGAGTCAAGTGCGCCTCCTTTCTTGTGCGATTCCACCGGACTAGTTGAAGGAGGACAAGAGAATGACTATTCAGGCTTTCATGTGACCCCGGAAGAAGAATCTTCAGTCTTTATGTATAAGAAGCACGGGATGAACTAGGGAACAGTACAATGAATCTTCGTTAGTGAATGATCTTTTCAAAGTACAGAGCTGATGTCCACCCAAGAATTCGATTATCAGTCATCATTTCCTACGAGTACTTGCATGGTCTTTTCCAGATCACTAACTTCGATGACTTCTGTGCGACGCTGTTGTGTGATGACAATTGTAAAGGGTCAATTACACAGAATCTCTCCAAACGTCATCAACCATATCTAGGAAGCTATTTGTGTTACCCTGCATTACCAGAGTTGGAAATCAGTTTTCTGTACCAGAATCGTAACATATTCTCCCTCAAAAACACATAATCTGTGGATTTCTATACACGTCAGAGGCTTGATTTCTTTTTGAAATCTTCAGCGGTCTGAGTTTGCAAGGATTTCGATCAAGCCAATGCTTGCATTGCGGATTCGTTCATCTCTAAAATGCCTGAACCTGCTGTCCTCTGTGTCTATGTGACTCATGCTAACATCGTGTATACTCTAGTGGATTTAACGTTAGGAAAACTGATGAGCTTCTCGGTACTCTGATGCTTTTACCCTTCGCTGTTCTCGGGATAAAAACACACGTGCTCTTGAACTACGTTTGTTGAAGAACGTCAAAGTGGTTCATCACATGCCTCAATCGATCAATACAACCCGGGTTAAGATGCGCATTCTCGTTTTGTCGTCTTTTCGTAAACGAGAGACTCAGCTGGGTTCCAGGTGAGTCTCTCGAATTTGTTTGCAAATGAGTGTATTTCGCTATGATCTATCTTCCCTTGTGAACTGCTAGTAAGCCCGAAAGTTGTGCTTCTCGATCCCGTAGATGTGGTGCTGTCTGGGATCATCGACGCACATATTTTTGAAAAACAAGTGAGCCTAACTAAATGCACCGCTCATTTATTTGGCTTTAGGCCCTAAATGTCACACTCACACCTTTCGTGATACAACAGCGATGAAGTGTACGTGCACTTACAAGCCGAAAATGCAAACTCGCAAGCTGGTGCCCACTTTTTGATGTCGTACAGGCCGCAATAATGATGGTGTAGGGTTCTGCAAAGAAGCCCTTCAGACTGCGCTGCCAGAAATCGGTTCGAATCATGTTTAGACGTTCGGGTGCACACCAGTTGTTGTGCGATCAATGGGAATGCGGGTATACTCGGGTGGTCACTGGCTGTATACAGAACAGTAAGGCATCCCTGCGATGATTTGAGCATTTCTGACCCTCTTGTTCTGGTTGCATCAGGTAAACTTGTATTTTGCACGCTGATCAAACTAATACTCCCATCAGACAGCGGTGGTCTGCAGTAGGGTGTGTTTGATCGGTTGGTCATGCACATTTGCGACCAACTGAGAAATCAGTTTCTCAAATGGCCAACAAGAGGCAATTAGTAGGCCGCGTCATCACATCCATCTACTGCAAGCTTCCCTATATCTTACCGAGCTTCATTATTTCCAAGATGATTAATTTTCCTTAGAGCAAACATGCTGTGGCTCTAAGATATATCAACCTTGAGTCCGTTTTGCCATGTCCCCTGTCGACGGGCTTGTTGGTTCTATTCGAATAACTTATCGTCCGTAGAATGAAAATAACTCTTCTGGATTCCACTTCTCGCTCAAGTGGAGGTACGCAGCTGGGTTGCGAATGATGGCGATCCCTAGTTTTGAAGCTATCTTATTTCCTACCGCAGATAATAACTATGCATCAGTGAAACTTATCGAGTGTCAGGACAAAAACCGTCAAAACTCAGGGGAACAGCTTGTGGTTTTGACCCTACATAAATCGGTAATACAAATAGCGAGAACGAAACCCTGTGTACACAAAATGTGAAACCGTATTTCTCTTCAGCCTGATTGACAGTGACTTAGACCATCCCAAAAAGCAGACCGATTGGCTTGAAGCCCTGTTGTTGTCTAACTGGTGGTCTGTCACTCTACTGGGCTGCCTAATTGTGTAACAGCAGAATGCTTGCAGTCTCAGTTCGCACAACTACATTTTCAGTGGCCTGACTTAATAAAAAGCGAACGCGGGCTAATAAAAGCGCCCTTGGGAAGGCAGTGGCTTTTTTAGACCAGGAATTCGGTCTCATCGGATCATGTTCAGTGTTTCTTACCCGGTTCGAAGTGATGTTTATTACCCGGACTGAAGTTTTACCGATTAGTCACATGCGAAACGGAGTAATGTGCTAGTTACTCTAATGAGATCCTATTAGTTATTAGGACAGAGGTTTCGGGAGACGTCAGAACAGCAGTAGTAATATCCGAAAACAATCCACTGGCGGTCCAGACATAGAAATGCGAATATTCATGTAATAATGTAGGCTGTGACCTACTCCATAACGCCTTCTTAGTGCGCACAAAAATACCGACGTACGTAATAACTAAGGTTGAACTTTATCATGAAGAATAGACAAGAATATCAATAAGCATTGGTTCTTGCGGACAGATTAGTGCAAAAACATGAACTATGTTTTTCATCGGAGTCCCTTAAAATGATCTTTGCAGTTCAGAAGAGCTTGAGTACAAAGGTTTTCCGTTGACTAAATGGAGTAAGAAACCAGTTGATCGTATCTCTCAAGTATATCTGTCTGAAGCTCTGGGCTTACCTTTTTACGTTTTAACTGATGTTGATCAGTGTATTTTTAGCTCTGTATCATAGTCTATCAAAACGCAGTACCACAAGGGTTCCGGATTTTTGTACTGCACTACTCATGAGGTTGCTGAAAATTCATCGACAGTCCACGACCGGTTTTGCCCTTCTTGAGGCTATACAGGTAGGCGCAGTCCCCGAGTTTCCAGCAACCCTATGTTCTCCTTGAGACCAAACTGCACGAAATTAGCGAAGTAAACTCACTTGCAAACTAATTTTGTTTTGCGAGCCCCAAGAAGGGTAAAACCGGCCGTGGGCTGTCGACGGATTTTCAGCAATTTCATGAGTGGTGCATTACAAATGTACATGTGTCGTAATATCTCGGACATAGTGGCGACTAAAACATGAGGCAGCAGCACATTCACTTGCCTGAAAACATCACAAACGAGAGACCCAGATGAATCTCTCGCAAAACCAAATAAATTTGCAAGTGAGTGTATTTCACTGGTTCCGGATTTTGTTTGAGGCGTTCTTTTATCCTAGCAGATGACTCGGTGCTTGACATTCTACCACAGTTGATTATACATTAAACTCTCTATCGTAGCACTCCGGCTTCGCAGAGACTCAAGACTATGAAGTAACGATCACGCTGAGTAAGTACCGGTTTTCCAACTGATATGAATCCCGATTAGGTTCAGGAAGACATAACACATGCGGAGAAACTGAGAATTCTTCCATCTCCTAGCCTTAGTTCAGACAGGTATTTTCTGGTTTGAAAGTAAGGTACACTAAAAATTTGCTGCACACGGCTTGTGTACTGCTTGGCATACGTTCCGAAACCTTATTACATTACCTTTCTGTGGTTGATATCTCCCAGAAATATCAAATGAGAGTACCGCGAAAATCGATGGTTTGGGAATAGGAAACCGCATGTTCTTCACTTATCCCTTAATTCAGACAAGTAAAATTTCGACCAATCAAACAAGAAAGCGAATTCAGTACCTAGTTTACGGAAAATGATGAGTATTCTTCCTAAGGATCTCCAGTTCAATGAAACATATAATATCTATATGTATAAGTGTACTGATATAAGTAAATCACATATAAATTGTATACAAGTTTAGATGTTATCGTTGTCCTGTTAATATTAGCATAGAAAATTATTGATTAACGAGAGAGAGAGGGAGAGAAAGAGAGAGAGCAGGACATCACAGATCGCTTTCACACAAATATACAGGGTGAAGAACCGAAATTCGAGGATGTCGATTGCCAGTTAGTTGAACCTCGGAAAGGGGATGCACAGAAAGACCTAGACAAAAGAGCTGAACATGTATTGTAGAAAAATACTTAAAGAAGACGTGTCACCGTGAAAGACTAGGGAGCAGAATACTGTTTTTCCAGCCTGGTGTATTTCGCTAGTAGACCGAGCTAGCGGTGCGCACGATCAAACAATGTCCTTTAGAAAAGTTTGAAAAGCAGCTAATGTTCAAATTGTTGAATGTGTATCATCCGGTAATTCTGTTTTGAAGTTCATAATCCCTACTGTAGATACAATGGATGTGAATATTCAGTATTCCTGAAAGTTGGTGAAGGGCTGAAACTCAATAGTGGACCGTCTTGGATAGGATGATCCACTGATTCGACGAATAACCACGCCGTTTGATGGTTTCGATTGTTGGTAGTATGGTTGCGGTGCCCATACACTAGTACCACTGATGTGGTTGTCTGTACGTGTGTGACGTCCGGAGTTCACGAATAATCCATCCTTACTGGGTTTTGCTGCAACCTCTGGGGCCTTTTGTTCTGGCAGCCTTGGACTAGCCTTGTGATTCACACTGGTAGCCGGTGCATGCCATGAGTTGTGCTCATAAGCAACTTCGGATCTGTTGGGTGCGTAAAAACGTGAGTGATTGTTATCAAGCACACCACTCTTGTCGGTGCCATTGGTGGATGGCCTTGAGTTATTGATTCGTATCAATCTTGACTCCAAGGAGCGAACGTTCTGTAGGTTACTGGGATAATTCGGACGAATCACCTGGATTGTCTTCGACGGTGACGATGTACCTGACCGATCACCAGTTTTTGTGATAACCACTTGATTGGTGGTAACGCTATTCAGACTGTTCTGATTCATACTTGGCTGTGTTCGGTTCCTGTCAGCTGAAAAGCTTCCGAATGTTGGTGGTGTTTGCCTGTAAGGATGCTGAGTTTGCGGAGAGGAATTCGATCTCCGTCCTGTACCGTATAGTGAGGTAACAGGTGAATTTTGTACCTTTTCGTTATCTTTGTTTTCCGAAGGCTTGGCATCGTTGTGTGTCGGGCAAAAGTCCCCGGTCAATGGACCGGTTATTGAATCCCTATTTCCGACTCCGGAATAACGGTTGGTGGAACTGGACCCTTGTTGTGTGGCTTCCTCCTTATTTGTTGTGGATCCCATACCCCGAAACTCCGGTCGTGAATGGGTGCTAGTTAAGGATAGAGCACCAACCTTGATATGGTTGGTAAATGAGTTCTCTTTCTCAACAACAGGAAGAGGTATTTCTTGGTTTCGGTTAGTTGCAATCGTTCGATTGAATGGTGCAATATCTTTCTCGCTACCATGAGAAGGATAGATGAGCGTGACGCGTTTACTAAGAGACGGATGATTTGAAACGGGGACTTGAGGTTGTCGCGAACCACCATTGCTGGAATGGGAAAGATTATCCGATAGTTTTGTGGGTGAAATATCTACTGTGTTCACAGAGTAACTGCCGTTTGCTATACGTGCAGGCGATCCGTTTCTGTAAGTGCATTTCAGTGTCGAGGTCGGGTTGGGTTTATCTGGAAGAATATCGGCCTGACTCAGCCGTGTTCTCCAGAACAAGTTATCCAAACTAGCTTTGGTGATCTTACTTCGTCTCTGAGGGACAGTTGGTTCGTTTCTGTTTGATTCATATGTGAAGTTATCTCCATTGTAAAAATTCATAGGAGCCATACGAGAAACTTCCATGCTGTGAATTCTACCAGGTGGATGGGCTTCCGCTTGTGTCTTCTTGGAAAAGTTTCTCAGCCACATATGTTGAATGGCTTTATACGGTTTGATTCGTTCTGCTGGAGACCAGGTTAGACAGGAAAGCATCAAACTTAATAAGAGCTCATTGTCCTTCAACAGAACAGGGTCTTCTTCAGCCGTTTTTGCTATATCTACGATCGTGGTCAAGTTGGCCACACTACGAGAATCCTTTCGTTTGAATCGTTTATGTCTCGGCTGAAGGATGGCTGCTAAAAGTGGCATGCTTCCTGGCGTACCACGCACGTAGCTGGACCTTTTTGATAAACCTGGACGTAGTTCTGGTGAACCGCCATCCTCGGGATACACTATCGAACAGTAGCGTGGCAGGTAGTTCACGTCTGAACAAGTTCCCGTGTCAAACTCTTCAACAAAATTCATGACGTTCGACGATGAACGCTTCTCGCTCCGGTGTTCAATGAAAAACTTGTTCAACTGTGGACTTTTTATGAGTATTTCTTTCGGTGGCATTCCGAGTATCTCAATTATGCATGCAAGTTGATCCGCCTCATCTTCACCGGGAAATAATGGCAAACCTGTGAAGGTAAACGGCAGAAAGCGGAAAGTACTCACTATTGAATTTACACAGCCCCTTAACTGTAAAATAATACATCCTAGAGCCATCCCAAAGGACTATATCAATGATGAGCCCAGACATGGTGAAGTATGTTCGGTCCCAAATGTGATGGATATTTGGTTTTAGACTGACTATCATAGATGTCACAGTCATCCTTGCAAGAGAGCCTTGTCTATGAATGTTTTTTTAAGTTATACGATTGTGGTTTTCCAAGTGTTGTTATGGCTTTCAGAACAGTGATTGAGAAAGGCTGGGTAACTGTCAAACTGAGCAAACATTACATAATGTAAATGACAACGGATAAACCAGTAAGAAAAGACACTGAGGCTCATTTCATACAACTGATTGTGAGTGTCCTGTCTGACAGGTAAATGTCGCTTGAGTGGCGAGATCTGCTAGCAAACTACTGAACCGAATGAGCAAATAACTTATCCATTGCACCTTTTCCGCATATCATGGGGATCATGTGACCTCCTTCGGGGTTCTAGGCATGGATGTTAGACGGCGAAAGAATTTTCCATGGCGTACACTGCCTCAGAAGGTTTAGGTAGGCGGGACTGATCCTCTGTCATTAGAAAATTTGTATACTGCTCTATAAGCTTCATGACAAGTTGAATAATGTAAGACAAAGTCAGAGGAATTCTGGAGAGACACTGCACTGACCACTTCGTGGGTCATAGATCAAGATTAGGTTGACACATAACATGATATTATTTTTTGAAGGATTACGCAGTTGTGTATCCCCATACGAACATCATGAGTTCGAGATGACCCAGTGGTTAAGGCGCGAACCTACTGAGCGGGAGGCCCGTGGTTGGAACCCGGCATTTCGACCGCTCCTGTTCAAGCTTGAGCAATCTGGCTGACCCCCGTGCTTTCGTTGGGTAACATGGTAGCTAGGCACCAGGAGGATGTTACGGACAGTCTGGATAAGATAACTCTAGCTTGCTACACCACTATTCTAACGATCTCAACATTGATTAACGTTTTTCACCTTTAAGCCCGCTCTAATAGTTAAGTGACGTACATGCGCACTGTTCTAGGAGACTTTGAATGTACTGTGATGGTCTTGGTCTTCACCGGAATCTGTTGATTCTTTATTTAAATGAGTTCTCATCATCAAGCAATTTGTTCATGCAGTTGGTGTCTTCATTCCTGATTTGTTTTCGAGCAGCAGCGCTAAATCACCGTCATAGCCATTCCGTTCTAAACAATTCAGGTTTTACCATACGTGTGCAATTTTTACTTAACGGTAACTATCACCGTCAGTCTGCAAGGGTGGCTACTGGGTATTCTCTCAACCAAGCGCTAAATGTGAAAACTTGCCATATAAGAACGAGTTACACCGTGGTGTCTCTATCTCAGATACGCGACTGACACTTCCCAGACACGTGATGTTAATTGGAACCCACTATCTATTCTGAAGGTACTTTTTACTCTGCACTTATCTTCTGATCAGTTTGACAAGTGAGGTAGATCGTCGATACAAAGTGGTACTACTCAAAAAGCACCGTGACATCAGAAGAAGAAATGTATAAAAAGGTACGAAGTTGGATCTGACGGTATACTCATTTCATGTATAAGTGAAAGGAGCAAACCCTCCGCTGCCGAGTCGTCTATTAGGAAACATCAACTAAGCAGTTACATGCTACTGGGCCGGAATATAAACATATCATATGCGCAGTTTTAAGAACTAGACGTTCCCACGCGTCTCTTTGAACTTTTATGGATATTCATTGAGTATTGCACAATTGTGAACGAGTACCACAAAGCAGTTCCACAGGTTCCGTAAGAAACTTCATCTTGCATCAGACGCGAGGCGGAGCCTCGAGATGACTACAGCCCACTCACATGCCTCAGCGGTAATATAGGCCGTTACACAAGTACATATTTGGGTACCCCTGACGATTAGTGTTTTCCCTGATCTATTTCTGCGTTGGACTGACACACCTGAGGGACAACCAAGGTACACCCTCAGGGAAGACTGAGCCATATTTTCTTCCCTTTTTATAGTAAGACGTGAGGATGGGAGTAATTGAAGCTGTCTAATTGAAACCAAGTTTCTTGTCAACAATATATGCCATATATATGTCGGTAGCAGTGTTACAAGCGATAGATGGGTGTTTCCAGTTCTATTCTTCCTGATACTCCCATAAGCACGAGTTTCTATAGCTATTTTATACTGAAACGAAAACGTAACCTCGTGAGATGCTTTGCCGCTCTGAGAGTTTGAAAAATCCGATCACGTGATACACTGTGCGATGAACTGACAAAGACAAGGGATATAATTCAAAAAGTGACTTCCCACGGAGATTCATTGGTAAAGACATTACAAAACTGTTCTAAAAACCTACATCAACAAAGAACTGTCACCATCTTAGTTTGTACTTCAAAGAACATTCGAATTTTTAAGTATTAGTAAGGAGACAACGAGCAATACTTTCAATGCTGAGCAGTTTTTTTGCCCTTGGGAAGCCACCTCATCGTCCGTTCGAATAAAAAGAATGATGATGCGTTAATTTAGGTGCTCCTGTAATGCGTTTTATGTTGGTCACATGGTAGATGCTATAATAGTCTTCAATGGTGACACTCCACTCTTCCAAAGCTGTTTGCAAGCACACATTCGAACTAGCTTAGTAAGCGTACCAAGGCTGACTAGAACTATCTAGCTGAATTGTTCCAGTAGTCAGGGTAGAACCAGCCAGTCGCCCTGGGACTTGACAACTTGAGTAGGGAAAAGCTGGGGTTTTGTCTCCCGAGAGTTTCTACGTGTCTATCTCTTTTGTCCATATGAGAGCAGTTCTCAGTGGAAGGGGATCCTTTATTACCGAAACAGCAAGAATTCGGATGGTCTACGGCTGACCAGCATAGGTAAAGGTCACTTACGCACAGGAGAACCGATGGCATTATTAGAACAGACCGGTCCACCGTTAATGATGTGCAACCTGCGGAAACACCCTATTAGGTTGCAGTTTGAAACCTTCACTGACGGATAATTTCATTGGTTAGATACCTCCCTCCTCGGACCGAAAACGGCTTTGTCGTGACTTCTATTGAAGCGACTCGGACGGACTTATTGTTTTTAGTAATTCAGCTTTGGGAAAAGCAATGTGTGGAAACATGAAACGACGGCAGTGGTGTGCGCCGATATGTGCTTTATAACTCGAGCCATTCTTGACGCACGTTCAAGTTGTGGTTTAGAGAAACTGTGTAGAAAATCCTCAGAGTCAGATTAGAGGTGAAGATTTGGCGGACAGAATGGAACAGAAATATGAACATTAGGTGCAAGGGAATTCGGAAACTGCGCCCATCCGTTATGCCCCAAGAAGGGTGAAACCGGTCACAGGTTGCCAAGTAGTTTTGAAAATACAGTTTTCTTTTTGTGAAGGCTACTGATATGCAATTGGGCGGCTACTGAATACGGAGAGACAGTCTGGTATCAGCTACCACTGTCTAAAAGGTTAGGATTTCTGTGGATGACTAACTGCAGTTGGTACAAAGTAAAGTTGTAGACCGATCCCGGATAGTTCAGCCCTACGAACGCTTCTATCAGATGCGCGGATAGCAATGGGGCAGACTCGGTTCGAGCACGTTTAATGTTTCTGCTAGAACTATCTCCCTGCCAGTTTTCACGGCTGTTCAGGTTCAATTTTTTTTTAAATTATAACTTTCACAACGAATCACGCTTGTTCGTTTACTGAACAGATGATGCTATATTTCAGTGCACCATAAATTTGTATTAAACATTACTGTGTGCTGGCTGTTATTACGATAGGTCATATGGGGTAGCGGAAGTGAGGAAACCAGACTGTACAGCGTGGGTGTAAGAAATTGCCGGACAAATTCTAACATCTTGTTCATAGCTTCCACAACCTGCTTGGAAATCAGCAGCCAATTGAAACTTCGGTAGGCATGTGCGACGTGTTGAGTGACCAGCAGTGTACCTAACCACTGGTTCTCCTCAATGCGGCTAATTTCTTCCAAAACCGTGCAATTCATGTTGGGTGACAGTACGGCCGAAGACTTCTCTAGCTGATTTTCTGTGTATCCGAAGCGTGAACTGACTGTAGAGTTGTCGAAATTGCGATGCTATACACGATTTCTGCGCGTGCTACATAACATAATTTCGTAGTTGTAGTAGGTCACTGTTTGGATGTGTTCAAGCAAACTGTTTTGATGGATGAGAAACGCCAAATCATGAGCATTTAATTTAACCGAACTGATTTTACCTCATTCACTTTGGTATCAAGTGATTCGAATCTTCAGGCGACAGTGCGGACTGAAGATCATGGCTGATACGACATATGCGGTGGTGGATATCAGATAAACGCTGGGCGGTTAAATGGATCCTCTGTTTGAGGAATGACTGGGCCGCTGAGGAATTAATTCGGGCAGAAGCGGGAAACGCATATGGTGATTAACAACCAGAGATTTGAGAATTATGTTCTGCTTCATGTATCTAATTTCGAAAACGCAGTGGTCCTCCCAGTTGGCCTCCAATTTCGCCAGGCATACATATTCACTTGACAGTTTATGGGACATATTCAATTGGGAAATGTTTGGAACCGATTGAGTAATCGTCAGTTCAGAGAAGTTTGGTAAACAACCGGTGGATTAATTGCTGGGTCCATTCAGTGGTTGTCGACCGGATCACCGAGCTTGGTATTTGGTTTGCAAACTTCTGGTTACCAATCAAGGGACATCATCACTGACCGGTGACAGAACGTTTGTAAGCCAATTCCAAATCTTGGCGAAGAAGTTAACAACCACGTGGTCAACATACCTGAGCTACAAATATTTCGAAATACTGAAAGACCAACCATACTTATCACCTTAAGTTCACACAAAATGTATGGAATGGAATAATTTTAGTGATTGTTAGCAAGTCAACAAATATCGACAACGTTTTGATGAATACATCTCAATTTTCTGTCCGAAACGGCCACCAAATCAGTTGCA